TGAGACAGTAAGTGGTCGTCTACGTTGCCAGATGAGTTGACTGGCGCTCCATCCATCCATCCATCCATCCAGTACGGGTGATCACAATGATCCCAGGATGCACAGGACATGGGGCGGGGGGCAGGGGAAACCCAGGCCCTCCCTTCTAAAAAATCCCTGTTTAATTTGCCAGCGTAATTTAGGTTAAGTGACCTTCTCAAGGACAGCAAGGGGAGAACTTTCCGCTACTCGGAGGTGACCTATGGATGCCACGGGTCTCGCTGTTACCTCATTACGGGGTTTGAGCTGAGGGCAGCCGGGATTAAGAAGGGATTCCACCGGCTCAGCAGCCAAAGTGCTCGCTGGGGTCTGTGCAGTTTCAGCTCTCTCCGGGTTTTTGTTCCCCGTTCACAGATTGATGCACCTGTCCGGAACCATCGGGGAGCACAGCCGTGTCCCTCTCCGCCCGTCCATGCAGAGCGATGGCCTTTCGTTACACCACCCCCCCAACCAGATTCCCGTGTTTTCCTTGTGTGGGCACCACCCGGAGCTCCGTGCTGCTGCTGGGCCCCCCAGCAGTCAATAAATCCCGGGTTCCTCACACAGGAGTGGTGACAGCCCCCCCAGCGGCACACAACCCCCCCGGCGGCACGGCCCCACGAGCAATTAGGTGCTGCTGACGAGGCCCGCCAAAAAAAAACCCCAAATACTCAAATACCCAATGGGGGGGGCTCAGATCAGAGCCCAGATCCAGCTAACAAGTGCCAAACAGAGTCCAGTACCAGTATTTTCCAGAACATTCTTTAGGGTATTCTACCTTATGGGCATCTGAGAAATCTACTCTTCTACTACTTCATACTCTGGTTCTCTTTGCTGGGGGGGGGGGGGGGGGGGGGCGGTTGGTTTCTGTGTTTTTCACATGCCCTTGCTCTGCCCCCCACCTGTATATATCAAAATGACAACAAAACAGCCAGTGGGCCCTGTCCTGTGCTGATCATGCCCCCCCCCCCCAGCTTCTATGGGTCAGATGCTGCCCCCTCCAAAGTGTAGGAGGATGGCGGGCAAGGCGGACACTGTGCAGACCCACCAAGCACACTCCATAAATTACTGACCCCCCCATTGGTTTGCAAGGGCTAAGTGACAGCAGATTGACAGGCGTGTGGACGAATGACGGGACAACTGCCATCTGTTCTCACCTGCCTGGCCGATAAGAACCGGCTTATAGTGTTAACGGAATAATTTAGACTGCAAAAAGAAAGAAGCCACTAGCCATATACTTTCTACAGCAGTACCATTCTTTCACCATATTAACTTTTTTTAGAATATAAATACTTTTGAAAATAAATACTGTGTGTTGTAATTGCTAATGTACCATACGCACTGCAAAATAGTTTCCAAAAAAAAAAATCCAGAGAAAAAAGCACACAAAACACTTCGGCCAGAATTTGCCATGGCCGATTACGTAAACATTGTCAGTCTGGGGTATCGCATCAATCACGCTTTGTCAGGCACGGGGCGAATGTTGTTTAAGATATCCTGGAGTCTCTCACGAGAACGCTGTGAATTCATCTCAGTCAGACTGAGGACACTATTACCCATACGCACTTCATAACACAGGCATTAATAAACAGCACGAAACAAGATGAGATTTAGATTCCTCAAAAGATCAAGATAAAAGCAAACGAGAGGAGGGTGAGGGAGAGAACCCAGCCCGTCTGCGTTCAGCGTCTGTGATCACAGCTTGGCGTGGAGTGAATCATCGTCTCCCTGATTCAAATCCGGACGCTCTTGGGAGGTGCAGTCATCTTATATACCCAACGTCCATAACAATATCATAGTTCATTCAGTGCCCCGGAATACTGGAAATGTGGGTTAAATTCAGGGATTTGCTTGTTTCTGTGATCATGGTGCTGGTTTCTTTGAGGGAGAACTTCATGGAAGGCCAGATAAGGTCACACACAAACACACACACGCAAAAACACACCCTCTTCGTCCTTGTGGTGGGAACCCACGGCAAATTCTGTGCAGTTCATCAAAGTGTTACTGCAACTGGCTTACTGCCGCAGTGAAGACAGCATGAATTTGGAAGATCACGCTATACATTCATTGCTAGATCGGGGGTGTCCTCCAGAAACTGCTTTATGGCTCTGCTCCAGCGCCATCGTCCAACTAACTGCGCTTTCATTAGGGCTGTTGAACAAATAACAATGTTTGGAGGTTAAATACAATAAAAGGAAACACATTTCAGTTCAGGGAAATTAAAGAACTGAATATTGGTCTTCATTTATGAATACAATGAAATGTATAAATATACTGTATGTCACCCCAACTGTACTGAATTAGTGGTTAAGGAGGATGGATGGATGAATAGATGGATCGTATTGGTGGGTTTTTCCAGACTGAATCCATCAATTTTCAAGATAAATCAGGGAGAATGTGTGATTACTGGAGATGTTTGAAAGAAAAAAATAAACTTTTTTTTTTTTTTTACACAAACTTAAACTTAAAACTTTACTAAAGTGTGAATCCCCTCGCCAAAGATGGACTCAAAAAGCATTTTAAGACATACAAACACTGTGTATCGGTAAAATTTGATCCATAGACCTCCCTGACGTTGCCTGAGGAGGAACAGGCAGACGTGCCCGCATGAGACCGGGGTTCGAGCGGCACGGGGCTGGGCATGGATTCGGATGAGCGGTAGGCTGCATCATGGACGGGGCCCATGCGTGAATGAGACGGGGATGCCCAGAGCGATGACGAGCACAGTCTTGTTTTGACTAAAGCGCATTGTAGCCCGCCCCCCCATTTCCAACCGCCAGTCATGCCACATGGCATTACTTATTTCAGACATGACAGCCATCATCAGCATCCCTCCCCCCCACTGACAAGGTCGAGGTCAATGGCGTCTGTTGTGTCGGCACTGCCGCACCGTGACCCGGCATGCCCGGCAGCGCCCGCTAACCACCGAGGCCGGGCCTGACTCTCGCCGAGTCTGGGTTTCTGACGCAATTATCCCTGCAGCGTCCTTGGCTGCTAAGCCTATCGGCTCGTTGTGGACGCCGTTTCTAAATTACATCCAAGAAGGTTTGCTTTGGCGTCTGCGAATTCTTCAACGAGTAAAAAGAGAATAAAAGAAAGAAGGGATTAAAGATGAATGCAGGCCATCCTGCATGGATGCTGGTATAAGGCCTTCTCCTTCTCTAACAAGCCCCAGCTGTTTCCTGGGGACTTTTCTGGTATATTATTGCTGAACCTGTTCAGTTCTGGAAAAACGAAACACTTGACAAATCTGATTCTTCATCATGGGATTTGTGTGCGTTCTGGATGGGCTGAGGTCCAGAAGCTGTCCGGGGTGCTTCACAGGTGTCCAATGAGCCAAAGAACCGAGACGGATTGCAAGGCTTCAGGAAGGCCTGTCGCTTTAATGGATGATGCTGTTGAAAGTCACCCCAAAGAGCGGGCTGGGAGATACAGAGTCTGACACCAGAGCTGTGACCCCCGCGACCCCCCCCCACAGAGATGACGAAAGGCGGGACAAGTCGTTCCTTCTCCTGCAGCTCCAGCTTCCCAGTGGAAGTTCTGCCGCTTGAAGACCAGCCCGTGAGTTGGACAGGTACCCCTTCTGAATCGGAGCTCCTCACGAAAACAGGATTGCGGCTGGAGAACAACAGGAAGCAGAGTTATTCTGGAAGTGGTCGTCACGGTTACAAAATGGCGGGAGATGGAAGGGTGTGGAAATAAGGGAAGCTTTTCCAAGAAGAAGGGTTCCTAATGGGATTCCAATGGAGCAGCTGGTACGCACAGGCCCAGCCCAGCCCGGCCCCCCGAGGCTCCTCAGATGATGGCCCATTGAGAAGAACAACAAGGTTTGTTTTGTCTCACATGTTCTGTCCTGCAAAGCCAATTCGCTCGCCTTTGCGTCCCAGACCCTGGACTTTCCACCGCTGGGCTGTCAGTGGGCTTGTCCGAGCGAATCGGAAAACCAGAGTCCCGAGTTAGACCGGGGATACGGATTGGGTCCGGAGGAAGACTAAGGAAAGAGGTAGGGAGCTCGCACCTGGGTACACATCCATGTCTCATGGTGGCTGCTTGAGCCAGAAATTGCTTCCAGAGCTGCAAAAATGTCTGGTTTTCACAGGTGTGGGGGCACCTTCACATACCAGTATGACAAAGTCATGCAGCCAATGGGACACACCACTTTCCAAATTTAAAATGAGTCATACGACTGCTTCTTCGGTCTAGACGTGACTTCTCTGGATATGAAGAGATGAAAGAGCTGAAACTTATTTCCCTTTATGAAAAGTACATACGTGATAGACCAGCAAGATAAAACTGCAACAGAATGCAGCACAGGAGGGTATGACTGATTAGATAGAAAACAAACCCAAATGAGCAGCCATCTAAACCTACTTATCCATATTTCATTAAAGCTTTGTTAATCAGTGTCCATAAATCATAGCTATAGCCTAAAATGCTTTTAATGTTGAGCTAAATATAACAATAACGAAAATAACTATTAAAAAATTAAACTTTGTCAGATGCCAAACTACAGCGAAGCCTGAATAGGACTCGAAGTGAAAATACCATGTTTTGGCGGGACAGTTCACTCCGCAGGCCTTACCTCCAGCATCGTCATCGCTCCTTGAACCTAACGACCTCTTGCTTATCGTTATAAACGTGTCAAAGGAAATTGCTGCGGGCTGGAGTTTATTTATACCCGCTGGGGTTGCGCTGCGGGGTCAGCCTTGGAGCACGAAATGCAACTTGACCGACGCGGACGCAAGACCCGCGAAATCGGAGTCCGGATCTGCCTATCATGCCCCCCCAGCAGAACAAGGAATCTGGTGTATTATTAAAACCCCAAACACTATACATGACACATAACATGAAGAGAAGTCGTTATATACCCTTGATTAATGTTATTATGAATTATTTAAGAAAGCGTCGGGTTAAATCACTGAACAAATCAGTGAGATCCGCTATAGGCGCATTAAGGCAGAGCGCGCGCCGTAAATATGTCATGATGTAAAGCGGCCAAGCATGCTGCTAAATAAAATACCTTTGAAGGGACGCATGAAGTAAACTTCCGGCTTTCCTGTGTGCCTGCCTTCAAGGTCCACAGCTTTGTAAGTGTTTGTGACTTGGTAGTTCATAACTTATTGCAGTGACATCACCTCTGAAAATAGGAGCATTTTTCACCTTGTAGTGTATTGCAGGAAGAAGCCGGAGTTGATTATGTCTGGCACACGACAAACAAAGAGAGGGCGGGGAGACGGGGACAAATGCCACGTTTCTGAGTCCGTCTCCGATGGAGGCTGTGACGGGGCCGCGGCGCATTCCTGTCCGGCGCTGTCACCTCCCGGCGCTCCGCTGGCGTTTCTCATGGGACTGTCGCAGCCTGGCCAGCGATCGGGCTCCACGCTTCCTTCCCCCAGCCTTTGTTGGCTTGCTGTGTGGCTTTTGGCAGGTGTGTTTTCTGCGCCTAGGACTGTCTGTGATTCACGGCGGTTTGAATGCGAGGAAAGGACAAAAGGGGGGGGGGGTTTACCCCGGCGAGACGTGCATGCGACACATCTGTGACGGCCCGTGCAATGTGGATAAACTGAATGACAGGAAAGGCGGAAAAAACTGGATGATGTTGTTTGTTAATAAGCCAGTGATGTATAAATCTATTTCAGTAACGAATGATTGTAAGTTCCAGTGAGTTAATGAGAGAGGTACGACGTATTTTCTATTTTGATGGCATGAAACACTTCCACCCTGCTGCTGGAGAAAAACGTCTATTGTATTACACGATTCACAAATATGCATCCACCCATCCATCCATCTCCTAGTCAGTGTCGCGTTACACCAGCTAAACGAAAGTTTATTGCATCTGTCACCTTTTGAATAAACGTGCTTAAATATTATCGTACGTCTCATGATCCCCCACATGCCGCAGAAGCGTCTCACATATGTCTGTATAAAAACGTTTAATTACTGTACTATGAATTTGAGCTATTCTCTGGGCGTTTCTTTTAAACCATTTCATGCTTCTTCAGTCCTAATATTGACTGCAAACAAATCGGACGAATGCTTAAGAAGACCGTGTGCGCCACCTAGTGTGGATTTATTATAACTGCCAGGGACTCTACCTAAGAACTAAGATACACGTCACGTTTTAAATATATGCTGTGTCAGAAAGTTCGTATTCAATCAAATAAATCGCTGTGGTACTTTTGGACTAAATTAAGAAAAAAAAACAAAACAGTGCCCCTCTATGTATGCTGTATATTGCTTTGGTGAGTTCAAATGTCTGCAAAGCCCAAATAATGAGCTAGGACTGGTAAGAGCCTAAATCTATACTTATTCTGGCACAAAAAGTTACGTAGAAAAATGTAAAAAAAATGTATTATATGGGTCTTTCCAGACACAAGACCTCTATAAATACCTCTATAAATACCTCTAAAAGGTATTTATATATTGGTGTGGTTTATAAATCGTATTTTATTTATACATAACGCAAGAACACGATTGGGAAAAGTGCAAGTGATTTTTACAACAGTGAAAAGGGGATGGAAACGAACGGGAATTTTTGCTGAACACATAGCCATACATTGTCGTTGCTTCTCTTTTGTGTAGTTTTTCCAGAACAAATCGGACAATGAACAGCGTACAAGGCGACAGAAGACATTTCCTCCCGGCTAAGTCACATTGTATTTCATTGTGGGAAAATTATAAAAGGCCTATTGAAAATGTACCTAGGCATATGCATTGTGTAAGCCTATAGAAAAAATATATAAATAAAAAAAGTTAAACATTTTGGTATGATCTCAGTATCATTTGTTGGCGCAACAAAGTTTACTCGACACTTCCTCGTTAATTGTCCCTTTATCGGGAATCGCACCATGATCTTTAAAAGCTGACCGCGGTTAAATTAGCCTCATATTCGATATTCAGTTTTCAGGCTTTAATTCCTTTTAATGGAAGTGAGGTAGGATGTTTTAATGACATAATTATGATGTCCAGTAAAGCAGCCGTAGATACATTTCAGAACACCTCGGTTTTTCTGTAAGAAACCCCTCACTCAAGACGCAAAATGCTTAAAATCGATAGTAGTTTTCATTTAAGGGTGTGCACACTTATGCAACCAACTTATTGAACGATTTTAATTATATATATATATATATATTTTATATATATTCCCCCCTAACAGATTTGTTTGTTTTTCAATTGAATTGTGTCACATTAAAGGTGGGAAAGTTTTGAAATGATTTATCGTGGTCTCATTTTATTTACATCACAAAAACATGGAATATTAACAGGGGTGTACACTCATTATATCTCCACTGTATAGGTCTACATTTTGGCCTCATGGAAAATCTAAACCCCTCTTCACGGCTCACAATAAAACCTAAAAATGACCATTTGTTTTTGGCATTCGTCACTCAAAGCGCTCTGGCCCTCTGGCGCAAAGGACACCTCTGCGGGGATGTGATTGATCCTCAAGAAAAGCACACATATGTACTCGCGCTGTTTATCCTCCGCTTTATCAGCAATCGGCACATGTTGCGCCCAAACACTTCTTTTGCCCCAGTACGGGGAGCCATTTGCCCCCCTCCGAACGCGGCTGACGTTTATCCAGCATCCGCTTTACATAAACCGTCGTCTGCTCCTCTGTGTTCGAGAGACCTTTAGGTTGATTACAGAAAATGAAAATATCCGTAAAAAGACTTTTAGGCCTAGGTGAATCAATTTTTAGAGCAGTGGACAAAGAATATTGTTGTTAGATATTAATATTAATAAAATTTGAATGCACTTATGTATGATCAAATTTACACAATAGGATGGTATATTGGCATATTTTCAAATATTATTATTATTTCACACATGAATCTTTTTCCAGTGTAACTGTCTAGGATTCTCCATGAAAATATCTATCATGCGCGTGTAATTGTGGGATTAGCCAAAATAAGCGGAAGATGGATGAATGGATGGATGGATAAATAGGCTACAGACAGAAATCTATGGCTCCTATATTTAAGGAACGTGGACTCTTGATAACGTGTAGTAATTGTGGTCGGGTGTACCTTAAACAGGTGAACGTCGCCTAGCGCAATGTCCTGGTAAAACGTCGCCGTTAATCAGATAAGTGTAAATTAAGATAAATCACATTCCGTGCAGTAAATGTATCATTTAGAGGGCCATCGGTTTTGTCAACAGTGATCAGGATTTTGCATAACCCCTTTATCTCGCAGCCAGGTTCGCGGTCACGCCGAGCTCTGTCCACGGTTCTGAAACCCAAAGCAGGTCATCACTGAGAATAGTTTGCTCTTGTTTGTCGTGGTAAATGTGCCAATTGATGTCGCCCTCAAGTGGAAAATCCCCCTTTTGAACAGGGCAGCGATCTCACTAATCCTGTCCATCAACATTTTGTTCACACCCCTGACGGGCATGATTGACGATAATCCGTCGCTTGTTTAAAAGAGACTGAATAGATCACTACCTTGATATCATTTAGCCATTAATCTTCTCAAGGATTGCCAGAGGCAGCTGTGGTATCATGGAGACGAGAAAATACATGCTTTAGACGGGTAATAATGAGTATATCTTTGTTTTCATTTGCGTCAGAGATGTAGTTTTTTTGTTTACTTTGCTTTTTCGGTAAGGGGACTGGTGGCATACTGATAACAGACATGGAATTCTGCAGAAATCAGTACTCAGTGTCCTTATAAATGTCCAGCTGATGTCGTCATGGGGAAGGACAGACAGCTGATCTACCTTGTAACGTTCAATTCTGAAGCACCTTCTCTGTGCTTCTCCGGTGTAATTTTCATAAACAGTATTTGATTTTGGATAGATGACTTAAGAGAAACACCGAATAAATTTTACAGTCCTTGAATAACCTTTTTACCACAAAGCAGTCTTTTAAACAATACGTTAATAAAATGTCTAAATAACGGCTCTTTCAACGAACAATTGATAATATTACAAATAATGGAAACATGTTTGAAAACGGCTGTGCATGTTCCCTTGGATGACAAAAGCTGAATTTCTGAATAGGGTAACTCCCGCTTTGCTTTTAAGTACCGCGATCAACACAAAATGTGTTGTTATCTTGTCAAACGGAGGGATTGCCCTTTTTGCATTGGTTTTATTAGAGCGCTATAGGCCTATATGCAAAACGTGGCAAATTTATGGAGCTTTAAAAGTCCCCATTGTTCCGGTCGGTGTCAGCGCAGGATTAAGAGATAGACGCACCACAGACTCCCGAAGACCAGAGGCCACCCGCCGCTAGGATGTTACTGCGGCTCTGCTCCGTCCTGTCACTGTTAATGAGACCGGCGTTCTGCCCCAGGGTGTCCTTACTGGCGCTCCCCCCGGAGCCAGAACGGGCCATGGTCTCGCAAGCGTTGAAGAGGTTGCACAAAATATTTAATATTGGAGACAAGCCGCAGAACTACCTGCCGCACAAAAAGCCGCCTCAGTTTATGGTGGATTTATTCAACGCAGTGGCGGATCACAATGGCGTGACAAGGAACCCGAGGATTTTGGAGGGAAACGTGGTTCGAAGTTTCGAAGACAGAGGTGCGTTCGATAAGATTCGAACCAGGCTTCAGCACTTTATACGTCCTTTAGAGATAACCGGTTACACGTTTTTAAAGGTCAATTTTTTTATTCGCAGTTTACTTCGATCGGAAATTTCATTTCTTCAACTTGTCGTCGTTCAGCAAGAGCGAGAGAATGATTAAAGCGGAATTCCGCATGTTCAGGTGCAAGCGGAATTTTTTTACTGGAAAGTCATATAGTGCACATTTTTATAAAGTAAGTAGACATCATGTGTTTAAATCACTGACATCTTTGAATAGTTCTGCTTTATTATTTAATTTGTTGTTTAATTGATTCATTAATTAGGTCGACGTTTATGAAGTCCCAGAAAACAGGATGTCACCTTGGCAGGGAGACCTGATAAGTTCACGGTTTTTGCCTCTATACAACCAAGGATGGGAAGTGTTCAACGTTACAAAAACTGTAAGACCACATTCTGTGTATTACTGCCGATTTTGGCTTAGTATGATTGTCAGTAGGCTACTACACCATACAGTTAGCAGTCGGGCTGACGCAGCGGTTAGCACTGTTGCTTCTGGGACCAAGGTTCAAGTCTCCACCATGGCTGCATGTGTGTGGAGTTTGCATGTTGTCCCCGTCTTGTCGTGGTGTTTCCACGAGGTTAAGTAGAGTTATCAAATTGCCCGCACGTGTGAGTGAACTGGGTGTGTGTGTGCGCGCGCGCACCCTGCCATCCTGGGTTGTTCCCTGCCTTGGACTCGTAGTTTCCCGATAGACTATGGACCCCCCGCGACCATAAACAGGACGAGTGGTTACAAAATATGGATGGATGTGACTGGTAGCCACTAATTACTTACTAATTGCTTACTAATTGCTGATCAACATCAAATGATGTCATAGTGATTTCTCCATAGGGCCCGACCATCGAAACATTTTATTGTGTTTCTGCGTCAAAACATGTTCTGTATGCCGAGTCGCGAACCAGTTTAATTTCTTCGTTTTTTTGACCCACTACAGGTTTCAAAGTGGATTCACAACAATGACACAAATAAAGGATTTTTAGTGGTTATAACTTTACCATCCGGAAAACTTATCGAATCCCAAGTGCGCAGTGGCAGCGAGGGCAAAAAATCTTATTTGGTCATTTTCTCGGATGACGGCAGAAGAGGGTCAAACGTGAATCAGGCGCCCCCTCACGGTAAACCGTCGGTAACAGCCAGAGACCGTGGTCATGACTGTCAAACATCTGAAGTTTTTTGTTCATAAATAGAATGCCAAACCTTTTTCAAATGTTGATAAACTTAAACACAAAGCAGAAGTTAATGTGCAGGGGACTGATGATTCATTTAACGACAGATTGTAGAAAACTGTTGCAATGTGTTTGGTGAACAGGGTGGGCCATCATTCTGAAAGCAGTGGCCTGGATTTTGGTAATTTCGACTCGACCAGCCGCAACCTAGACATGGGTGTGATTTCTTTTTTGTCTTTTTAGGGCCTGGAAAGTCACCAGCAGCGGAGGAATTCAGCGACGAGAAGCCTCCAGAGAACAAGAGGCGGAAGACGCGGGCAGCGCCATACTACACCAAATGGCAGTCGATGACGTGTCAAAGGCAGCCTTTGTACGTGGACTTCGAGAAAATCGGCTGGTCGGGTTGGATCATTTCTCCTCGGGGTTACGACGCATACCACTGCAAGGGGTCGTGCCCGTTTCCGCTAGGCGAGAGTCTCAGAGCCACGAACCACGCCACTGTGCAGTCCATCGTGAACGCGCTGAAGCTGTCCCCGGACGTGCACGCACCGTGCTGCGTGCCCGACAAACTCCATTCGATCAGCCTGCTGTATTTCGACGACGAGGAGAATGTGGTTCTCAAGCAGTACGACGACATGGTGGTGGTCAGCTGTGGCTGCCACTAACCAGGAGGGCGAGTCTTGCAATGTGAATCGCTATCTAAAGAGCTATTTTAAACAACCTTTGAGTAGAACCACATCCTATATGAATAGTCACACACTGTATATGTAAATTGCCCTATTTTTGTGGAATAAATTCTTCCGCTTGAGATATACTGTAGGTCAGTACAAAACAGCCTCAAATGTTCTGCATCATACGCTGCACCCATGGGCGGAATTGGGGGGAGGGGGGGACGAACAACTTTGGGCACATATAGATCAAAATTTCCACCCCATTCATTAAAGCGTTATAATCCATCTTAAAATTTGGCCGGTCAATCCGCCAGCGCAATAATGATTAGCATATTATTGATGCGTCGTCGTTTTTCAGTTCCTCTCCTCCAAAAATAAAGGAAATGGCACACGGGGGGGCTCTACCCTGGTCAGCCTATGCCCCCCAGAGAAGTTAGTTCGCCCCTCATGTGCCCGGTTTTCCTTTTGCTGGTGCTCTGGAATTTAGCGTTTAATTGCCCCCGTCACGCTTACACAAACACACATGCAAACATGTAGGCCAAGTACCCACTTCGCGACCGTTAATTCGGTGACATTAAGTGTCAAACACAATGCGAGATATTAAATTGTGGTTGACCTATTTAAATTAAAAATAATAATAATAAAAGAATAAACCACAGAAATTGCTTGGGGGTATTAAGTCTATCTTAGGGGTATAGCTAAAACATTCCAAACCCCTCCCTGGCGCTGCTTCTGACAAGCAACATCAATACCGACGTTACCATGAAGAGCGCACACCAGCCATTCTGCAATCACACACACTCAGCTGCGATGAGCTTAATGTTAAGGGTAAAACTGATACTACAATATGCCCTCAAAACACCCTAACGCCTCCTGGTTTGAAGCTGGTCGCTCATCCTGCGAGAACAACCTGGGTCGCTTTAAATTAAAGAGAGGTACAAATCAGACTTGAAAAGGAAAATATGATGAGATCTTTCCCCATACAATTGGGAGGAATTAAAGACAAACCTAATATATAATCAAGGATGAACATAACTAGTGCGCAAGTACTTGCATTTGCGCTGATATGAAAACAAAATATAATGCATTTTAATCTGTATATGCTAACTCTACTTCATTTGCGGTATACAGGTTAAAGTGCAAGGTTTTTTCCTTGTCACAGCAGCGCAAATGCATATACAATAAGTACGCATTTGCGCTTTTACAAACAACAAAACCTCTGCCTAATAGCGACTTCTGGACCACAACCATAAACAGTTGCGAGCGGCACCCTCACATCTCGCCAATAAAATAAATAAATCTCTGTAAAAATCGCTGTACAAATTGCTTAGTTAGATCTCTCGCCTTTCATACATCCTACCTCGAAGCAACCGAAGTTCCCTTCTATACCTTCCAAACTGGGCGGTCCTGCGCTCCCCTAAACTACTCACACGTGCAGCCAGATGTAGGTGTTAATCCAACAATATTAAAAGTCAAAAGACGGTAAGGATACAATACAAAATGTCATGAATAATTATTTCCCTGTGACATATTCATTAATGGGCACACATAATTTTAAGCATTCATTGCCAAGTCCGGCTACAAGAATGCGTAAATAGCAAGTCAGCCTATTAAAGTCAAACCGTATGTTATCAGCTGGAACCTATTACGATGGGTTCATAAAATCAACAAATTAAAAATTAAATGTGTAAATGTTTCAGGCGTTGCTTACCTTATTTGGGCTTTCTCCGATCTTGTCAAATCGCCGAGACATAATGTTTACACTTTCTGCTAATTCCCGATGCTTGTGAAATTTAGTAAAAATGATACAAACAGATATTTCCACTAGTGGGCGCCAATCCAATGACTACAGTATAATTCAGCCGCTGATGGAAAATGAAGACAGAACATCGGTGCCGTTGAGGATAAGTTAATAAAGCAGCTCCTATATGAAGGGGTATTATGAATTATTTTATTGGAATGGTTTTTACATGACAGGCTCCAGTTAGAAGATGGATGGAAGAATGGATGACTGTTTTATTTTTCAAAATATTCTTATGCATAAAACTTTGTTTCAATAAATATCCCTGCTTTATCTGTTAGTCAAAGACCTGCATTACACTTTATTTAAATAATTACATCTTCAACATTTCTACTTTACAGATGCTATAATAGAAGTTTGCAATTCTTAACATTCTTTAATAAAATGCTACATTGTCATTCTTTACATTTTAAAATACTCTTTCTCTTATGGCTATAAATACTAAAGAACAATACTGATATTTGATCACTTATATGGCTATATATATAAACTGTGCTCACTTGTCTCAGTGTTGTACTAATCCCAAAAAAAATACAGTGCATTTCAAACAAATAACTGGTTTCAGCTAATTCTCTATTGCTAAGTCATCCACTTCACCCAGTGACATGATATCCATGTTCCTAGAACTGATACTGTCCCTATCGTCACTATACAAGGATCCATCATACAGGGTGCCACGTATCCCATCAGGCCCAGTATTTTTATTGCTGTTCTGCTTGTCCCACATCTGCCTATAGAAGGTGCTATCCTCCAGATTCTTCTGACCGTTTGTGACTCTTACTGACATATTGCAGGCAAGCCCCTGTGATGGTAACAGACTGACAGGCATAGGCACAAATCCATGGTAGAGCATGTAGGGGGCTTCCACTGAAGTAGGGGGTGAGCTGGAGGTCACAGGCGACGAGGCCTCCTCAGATTGCTTTACTGGCAACTGGAGATACATTCCAGTCTCTGGATCAAAGAAGGTCTTTGTCTTGACTTGCACAGGCATGTCAACCACAAAGTACTGCCCGGAATCTGGGTCTTGCAGGACCTTCCTCTGGGTCATCGAGCAGGGTGGCACTATGGCATCGACAGCAGGGGGTGGGCTGAGCTTAGGCGCATTGCAGGACGAGGAAGCTGGCAAAGAGTCTGGCACTGGTTGCTGAGGTACCGGTGGCTCAGCGGGTGGCAACCATGTACTTGAGGCAGGTTGGCTGAGTTTTGGAGCAGTTTGATTTGCTTGGCTCTGCCTTTGTGACTTTCTATGGGAGTCCACTTTTCTGTTTCTCCTGGTGTTCAGCTTTTGAGCACGACGGAGGGCTTTTTCTGACTTGGGGGGCACAACTGGCAGGCGGCTCTGTGGCCGAGATTCGGCGGCGCTGCAGGCGGACTCCGACCTTTCACTGGGTTCCTCTGAGCACGTGGTATCCTCTGTGGGCACAGTGCTGTCTGGCTTTTCCTCCATGTCTACCACAATCATAGAGCAACTCTCCACCTGCTCTGAAGCACCTTCTTCCTCTTCTGGGATTGGAACATGTCTCTGATGGCTCCTCCTTGGCTCTCCAGATACCTCAGGGGATTTAGCAGTATGGGGTGTTGCACTACGAGCGGACGCTCCATATGAGCGTGAGGTTAACCCAGTGCTACGCGGAAATGATGCATCCTGCAAGTGGTCCTGTTCATCATCACCCCTCTCGGACCCACTCAGGCTTTCCTTAGGTGACCCCAAGCAGAATTCCTCTGGACATGGAAGGTGAAAGGGCAGCTTCACTGTCCTGATGATCGGGGAATTCCGGAAAGTGTTGTCTTTCACTTTAAACAAAGTGGGCTTCCCCATAGGCGACAAAGGTGCTTGCGATTGGGCTTTGGCACTTTCAATTAAGCAGCGTATCCAGCCACCTTCTTCCATCTCGTTGGGCGATAGTGTGCTTTCTCCTGTCCATGAGGCTCTCCCATCACTCTGTAGCAAGACTGCATGACTGTCTTTAGCTATCACTTCACTCTTGTGATCGGTTACACTGAAATATTGCGACTCCATCATTTGCGAATCCTTCCCTGATGTATTCTTGTCCCCTTTAGTGTGCAAATCCTCTGACAGCTGTGATGGTTGTGCTTTGAAATCCTTATTCTGTGAATCAACCATTGGCAATAAGTACAAGTCCCTTGGAGCTTTTTTGGCCTCTCTGGCATGAGCCAACTGCCCTTCTGCCCAGCTGTCCTGCACTGGCATAGCGGGCACCTCTCTTTCCCCATTCGACTTGCCATTTGCCTTTCTATAAGTTCTGCCTTGACTCCTGCTTGCATGTTCCTTTGCTGTCCATTCTCCTGAAAGATCCTCATCTTTTTCACCTATAGATGCTACTTCCCGCCTCCTCCCATATCCCCAAACTATACCTGCATTTTCCCTCTGACTCACACTTCCTTCGTCTGTCCCGGTAAACCCTTCTCTTGATGACTGTACCCTAGTCGCCGACCCTGCCCCTTCGGTTTGGAGACCATCAACATGCTCTTTCATACTCATGTAAGAGAGTACTTTCTGTCTGACGTTGCCTTTATCCATTGCACCCCGCCTTCCTTGCTTTTGCTCTCCATCTCGGCCCCTGCTGTCCATGGCAAAGTTATCCTTTCCAGTAGGACGTCTTCTTCTTTCAGTAACTACATCAGCCTCATCTTTCCCACTGACCAAATTTCTCTCCTTTTTGACACTCTTGGGAGGGAGAAGGGCTTGAGCTTTGCTGTTTTTATCGTAGACTATACTAGACTTGGAAAAGGTCTGTTTCAGATTACTGTTTTCTTTGTCTCTAACCTGTTCCTCCCAGTCATTCTGAGCATGTCTTGTGTTTGCCATGTTCTCCTCTCTCCTTACCTCATTTTCTTTATTTAGAATAAGTTCACCCTCCCCTGACGACAGTGCATGTGGTTTAACCCACACCGTGTCTGTGTTAGCCTGAACATTTTGATTAAGCATGTCCCCATTTACAGCTATCATATGCTCTCCAACTTCTGGCTGGTCTATAACTAGAGTCACATCATTTTCAGAGCCTCTTTTCTCTTCGCCTACTTTGGTGTTCCGCCTTTCCTGAGTTATTGACTGGTGACTTATAACACCAATGTCTGCTCTCTGTATGAGCACTTCTGTACCTCCCTCTTCTTCTCCATTGTCTACTTTCATTGCATACCTCTCATTCTTTATATATTGGTTCTGTTTTGCTGAAAAGACATGTTTTAGTCTAACTTCCTTTCTAGAATCCCTCTCTTTCCGATCATGAATCCCCGGTTGAGCATTTTCTTTTTCCCCAGTGGTCACGGGGTTTACAGCCCTATCTTCTGCTGATGGCCCCTCGGGGTTCCCACTTCCTGTCACGGCATTCAGCCTACTTCCTCTGACTACACATCCATCCAGGTACAAGTCCTGCCCCTCGCTGAGCCCTTTTTTGATTGTGTGGTTGCTTGTCTGTTTCGCTTCTTTGCCAAAAGCTTCGGAGTCTACAAAGAAATCTACTGCATTTGGGAGAGGTGGTTCCTTTTCTGGACTCTCTTCCTCTTTTTCAGTGGACCGGTGAGAAGCATTCGCCATCAATGGCCCATTTACAATCTCTTTCCCTATCAGGCCAGCTGGCCTGTATGGGTCTGGTGCCAGACATTTCTGTGGAGTGTCTCTTGATGTTAAAGGAGAGCTGACAGCGTGGTCCACGGGCTGGGCTTGGCCTGTGCTTTTGCGCGTGGCACCAGGAAAGCTTTTAAAGCTACAAGCTTCTTTTACAGCTGGGGGTGAGCTTAATGTCAAGTAGTCATCTGATATGCAGACTTCAGCGAGTTCTTTGCGATGGCTGGTCCGCACCTCACTCGGTTCCAGAGCGGGGCTGCTAACAGGCTTGCCGTCTCTGGCTTTGGGTTGGGCCACAGTTGCAGCCCCTGTACCCGACAGTTCCAAAATAGTCGGGACGCTCTTGGGGCCAGAGGAGTCTGGACTTTTAAACTTCGGTGGGTTGTATGTGCTCTTCACACGTTTCCTGTTGTCCTTGATGTTGAAAAGCAAGCTGGAGGCCATGGCCTTATAGCTGTCACGCAGCCGGACCTCGTTCGGCTTGGCCTCAGTCTCCAGCGAGGGGGCGGGGGGAGGTTTCGCCAAGGGAAATGTGTCCTTCAAGGATACCAAAGTTTTCATCTCCCGTCTGTCACATAAAGTGGGAGTCAGGAGTTTGGCGATGCCGAGTGGGGCTATACTGCCTGACATGACCAACACTGCACTCTGTGTGCCCTCCCTTTGCTGTTCTTGAGGAGGGGGCATGGTGCAGGGCCGATTGGCAGCATGTGCTTTTTTAACCAGGCTCCTGTTCTTTCTCCAGGGGACACAAGCCGTCGCCATTTCCAGGTTGCTTATCTTGTCAATAGCTTTGCCATTTTGTACGACTTTAGGAGATGGGCATCCTTTCCCAACAGCCAAATCTTTGTTTAGGTATTCAAGGGAAAGATTCTGCCTTTCAATATCCTCAGCTCTTTGTTGGTCTTTAAAAGAATGATGTTGCTCCCTGACCTCCTGGGCTTTGGATGGCTTTTTGGTTGAAGACATTAAGGCAGCTATAGCGTTCTCCGTCGGTTTCCTGCGCTGAACACGCTCCTTGAGATGGGCGTCTTCATGCACTGCCTTTAACTCCTTGTAGAGTGAGGAGTCATACCACTTTGGAAAATTACTTGTGGACAAGATGTCCGAGTTTTCAAATGGGACCTGTTTGCACTCCCTCCAAATTTGAAATGGGCTGAATTCACTATGTAGAAAGAAATTTGTGGCAACGAGCTTCTTGTGCTTGCTGGACTTGCGACCTTTGCCCTTTGAGGATTTTGTAGAGGTGGCGGCCATATCCATATTTGAGGTTTTATTACTGGAGGGTTTTTTTCCTGGTGCAATACGGCCCATCGTAAAGTTCTGTGGACAAACTGCTGTGGAGAATTCAGACAGTTCCCTCTGGATGCTCATGAGGGCTGACCTGTCCCATGACTGACAGGTTACTTCTACTTGTTTACAGTCTGTTGGCCTAACGCCATCTCCAGCCACATGACCGTCATTCCTGGCTGTAGCGAATGCCTTAATCTGAGATGACACCTTTGATTTGCTGTTGTTCTGCACCCACATGGTTTTGATAGCACCGTTGTTCATCTGAGGGACACGTTCGTTCCGGGGCTTGACCAAATCCCCAACCGGATGCTGGAATGTTGTCGCTGTCTTGGACGTATTGCCCACCTCCCCTTTTCTGCCTAGCTGGAGTATACCTTGCATGGTTTTCTGTTCTGTGCCATTGACGTCCTCCATGAATGCCCGCTGGCGTTCAGTGGGAGAGGATATGAGCACCGGCTCAATGTAGGCAGCCTCGTCGCCAACGCAAAGGCTCTTAAAGGCACGGTCGGTGAGGCTGCTCACTTCACGGTCCGTCTCGTCCATAACGCTGCCGGCGCAGGACGCTTTACCAAAACCATCCGGGTGCTTGCAGGACCTGTGCATCCTGGTTTTGTGGCGAACCCGCTGTTTTCTTTCCAGGCAGCTCATTTCCAACACTTACTGCTACCTGATTCAGTCGGTCTCCAGGACGTTCTGCCTTACATCGGACTGAATTTAACCAGATCGTCTCTCAAAAGGCGATATGATTTCATTTCTTTCCTGCAAGGAAAGGCACAAAAAACAGGGTGACATGAATATAGCAATGCTATAATGGAAACCCATAATCTTGTTTAAGAATATTGTTTTTTAAAAATCAACAGAACAGTAATACTCACAGAAATATATTTTATATGCATGCTAAAATGCATTAAAATATACAGTAAAATTTAATGCATATATTGCCCTTAAAGGTCAGTATAAATAAATTACATTAATCAGAGCTGCTGTTATTTTGTATAAATATTATAAATTTTCCAACAATTCTCAAGATTAATTTATGCGTTCTAAATATAAAGCATGTGAGAAAGGAGCAATAATTTACATTTTGATCCATTCAAGTCAACCACATGCATTATAATGGTCCGTATAAGAGTTAAAGATGTCTTGAATTGCATTATGAAGGTATCTGCATTGTAGATGATATACATTCATAATACATAATAATATTTATAGAAATGTTTATAATGCTTTATGAATGCATTATAATGCATTATGAATGTGTCCATCGATTCTTATAAACATGGCATTGATAGAAAGTAAAACCAGGTAAACACTCTAAGAATACCATAGGCATTTTAAAAATGAATCATTACACTCTCTCCTAGGGATCGGAATGATCAGTGACCTCCCGGTACGATATTATCACGATACCATGGTGCTGATTCGATATGCATTGCGATTCTGTAAGTATTGTGATTCAATGAATATCCCGATTCTCAATACGAATTTTTCCCGATTTTTTTTCTCTTTTTTATAATTTAAAAACCTTGACCATGTAAAAAAAAAATGTTGAGTCATACCGCTGAAGTTTTATTCAATAGCTGCACAGCTGAACTGAACATGAGTAAATGTAGCATACTCCATGGTATACTCCAAATAATTTCCCTCCTCAAAAAACCAAAGGCAGCATTTAGGCAGCGTTAAATTAGAAGTTAACAAAAAGCTACATTTGTTGCTGTCCTGGCATAACCTGCACTGAGCTTTTGTGCTTCTCCTAACTTGTCTATCTCAGGATGATGTCTAGCAAAATGTCGCTGTATGTTCATCATATTACTTAATACTTAATACTTAATTTTTACAGGACAAAGCCTGAATACAGCATGGCTCATGTTCAACTCCTCTTTACTGTTTACTGTCCATCCACTGATCACTGTAACCACTTAATCCCAACTGGGATTGGGATTAAGGGTGCACACACTCACGGGGCCAATTTAGAGTCGTCAATAAACCTATCATACACACCTTTGGACTGTGGGAGGAAACTGGAGCCCCCATGAACACAGGGAGAGCGTGTGAACTCCACACGGAGAGGTCCTACGTCTGACCCGAGGGCCCCGTGGCACAGTGCCGCCCTTTTCTCCACACACCGAATTTAAACCGTGGAGGAGCAACACGAGTCTCTGCTATGTCATCCGCCATTTCTGTTATTGCTAAACAAAGTCAGAACGAAATTGCCTGCTACTACACAGTATGATGCGGGAATAGTTTACAGTGCACCACCTATAGGATTATAGAGGAACAGCAACGTTTCTCCACCTCAAATCCAAACACATATAAATTAGAAATTAATTTTTAAAAATCGATTGCGGAGTTAGTGTGCGATACATGAATTGCCACACAAAAGATTCACGATATATAACAATCGATTCCCCCCCCCCTCCAATCTCTATTGTCTCTCCTACTGCCCATTCTGTGATTCACTTTGTTACCTTATTCATTTTGGAGGCATATAGACAAGAATTTTTGCATACAGGGGCTAATTTTAGGCGAGAATGATGCACCGCCTTCCGACGCTAATCCCTGGGCATATTCGTGTGGCGAGTATCGCAGCCTGAGCGCTGGTGACCCTACGATCCCGACGTGATGGGCACCAATGTGCCCTTGGAAATACCCATGTTTTTGGCTGCCAGCCCTTAGACCTAAAATGTTGATGGCGCAGGGCAGCAGCGAGCGTCCAGCCTGCCGCTGGCTCGTAATTTAAAACACATCGCAAGGGGGAGTCTAAGAGTTTCCACTTTTGAACTTGGCCACTGCTGACAGGCACCACCCCAGACCATCCTGGCGGCGGATATCAATCTGGCCAGAAGCGGGACGATTTTCCAGACCATAAATGTATTCCACGAATATTATCTGGAATCGTTCGGTGGGTTTTTAAATCTGGAAGAACTGCAAGGTAAGAATGGGTCAGAAAATCAAACTATTTCTATCACAGCTGAAGTTTTTTCACATCTATGTATCCTATTAGTAATTATAACGACAACGACAACCACAACAAAACAACAATAATAGTAACTCTGTTTTTATAGATATTTCATAAATATTTATTATTATTATTATTATTATTATTATTATTATTATTATTATTATTAAGGGCACTGGTGCCAAGTATTTACAAAATTATGCTTACAAATTTCAGCTGTGGCATCTAATTATCAGGGTTCAAACTCTCCCCCCTGCTTTCTGTATGCAGAGCTGAGGGCAGTTTAGATTAATTAAAACTGAGTACTTGTGTGTCTGCAACAGAGTAGCTGGAGTCTCCTATAATCCCGATAGGGTAGGAGCTTAATAATAAACAGGTGGAGAAATGTGAGAGCCAGATGGATAATCAGTCATTGCCACTCAGAAAGTAGAAACCCTTTTAGATTATTGGTACTTATCACTCAGAAAGTAGAAACCCGATGAAGTCAGGAGAACGTAAAAGCAGTGGTTCTATATTTGCCCGGTTGTTTATTTTGGCGGACAGCAGTCGGCAATCATCCAGCACCCTTGAATGCAAATGAAACGTCACTAAAGCTTAAATGAGGAAAAATGAATCGCGAAAC